TTCTTTTTTTTTTTTCTTTTTTAAAGGAGTTCCCACTTTCTCTCCTCGGGGACGACTCGAACCCATGACTTATCGGTCATAGTTGACGCGTCTTACCACCCAAGCTGCGCGGCTTTGGATATGTTTTTACTTTTTAGTTGATCAAATTTTAGTTCTTATAAATAGATCAATTAAACATAGTAAAAATTAAACAAAAAGATAGTAAATGATATTTTAATAAGATATGAATGTAACAAATATAAATTCATGTGAAAAATGGTACAGGTAATCTGATAAATTCAAAACCATACCAAATTATTACAAATTTACTAACATTTGTTGCAATGTACAAAAGAAGTGCAGCACTATGCTTTCGATTTATGTGAATTTTCAGCATGCCTTAGCTAGTTAGGAATTTATATTATGCAAGAAGACGGGCAATCTAGGCATATCACATGCTAAAAAGCCATCATCTGCTATCAGTCTAATTGAATACTGAAAGAATTTATTCTTTTCTGGTATTTGCTTGATACACAGGTACAGAAGCGATTTGAGGTTCTCAAGAAGCGTAAAGATACTGGGGGTTTTACAGAACAAGGTATGTTAAATAGAAGTGTTAAATTAATATTTGGCATCTTTGATAGGAATTAGAATTACACAGTTTAACTCTGTATAACCATAAAGCAAAATAAATAAGAGAGGAATTATCTTTAGTGTGATGTTAATAACCGTCTTGCACACACATTGTATGGTTTAATTTAAGAATCGCCTGTTATCACGGCACAATTCCTGATGATGATTAAAAACGTGCAAAATAAATCCTCCCTATTCGAATCACAGATTTTGATGAAAGGATCCTTAAACAACAACAAGAAGAGGAGGAAATTAAGCGTTTACGTAGAGAGAAGAAGAAAGAGAAGAAGGTTAGTATCAATTAATTGTAATCCATAAATCGTGCTTTAGAAAGAGAAGAAGGTTATTACTGTTAATTGTAATTCATAAATCTTGCTTTATCCTTGTTATCTCTTACGAATCGCTAACGGTTGATACCGATTTATCAGAAAGAGAAGGCAGCTGAGGAGGAACCCGAGATCGATCCTGATGTTGCAGCTATGATGGGATTTGGTGGTTTTCGTTCGTCCAAAAAATGATGTTGTTATTCCATATTAGCATTTACCCTCTTTGGAGGAAAATGTAGGAGTGCTAACGGGGTACTGAAGATAACATTTGTAGTTCTTTACTACAATGTAAAATGCTGTAGTCTAAAATGTTTTATTCAGATAATCATAACACGTACACTTTAAAATCAACAGAAAATCATTTGAATAAATTCTACTTGATAGTAGTTTATAAATAGGATAGCTAATCATAAGTCAAATAAATATGCTCAAACATTGGAAAAAAAAAAAAAAAAAATAGCATATACTAGCAATTCAAATTGTGAAAATTACAGATGTTAATTTTATTTCTTGCCAACTTGGAAGTTGGAACTAAATATCTAGTCGCATATGATTATTTTAAATAAAAATTTTAACAAAAAATAATTGGAACCCCAGTTAAATATGTCCATTCATGTTTTCTGGTTCAAACATAACTCAGTTTCACCAACAAAGCAATGAAAAATGAGTTCGAAAATGTCGATAAGCACTACATGACAACAAATAAGGTTAAAAAACAGCAATAAAAACTATAAAGGCAAAATTTTCAGTTAGCTATTATATGAATCCAGACAACAAATATGGAAAAGAAACCATAGTCTCGCAGAGAACACTCAAAAGTGTAA